CATGTCCCGTGTCTGTCATTTTAAGAGTGGTTTGGTATGCAGAAACCATCTGAGAAAGCCGGTGTTATAGCTCGGTGCTAAAAGTTGCTGCAGACCAACCTGCAGATAAAGGAATAGATTGCACTCAGGAACTCATTCAACAATTAGGTGTCTGGACACGTGGGGTTAATTTAAATGTGTGTATTTACTGATGACTGCAATGATGATCTGATGTTTGAATGTGACACCTGCAGATACAACATCATAGGTAGCACTTTTATGTATCCCTGTATGAACTGCTATTCAGTGCTCAGTAATGTAGTCAGTTTATACGCTCAGATAATACAGGTGTTTTACTAGATTGTTGTAAGGATTACTGAGATAAAAATCTGTGAAATCTTTTGAATGCTCTAATGTGCTGCATCAGTTGTTATGACTGCTACCAGACATGTCTTCAAAGCAGACCCCAGCACCAGAATTTCCCTTTTCCCTTTGATACAATTTGAAATATGTTTTGCAACTTCTAATCTGAGGCTGCGGTCACACGAGGCGAGGCTGTTTTCCCCAGGCCAAAATGATGTGTGCTTCTGGCCATGCCCCCCGCTGTTCCGTATACTAGGTTTTACCCAGTGGCTTTTTTCCACGCTCCTGCGGCGCGATATGACGCCCCGCCGACGACTCTGGGACGCTGGACAGATGTGTCTGTCTGATCACGCCCCTTTACTCCGCAGGGGAATTGCACCGTTGCCACCGCTTTCGGTACATATCATCGTACCCTTAGTCTATTATACCTCACCTCATATACTCCTCATATAGCTGGAGACTTGGGGCTTTCCCATCGTATCCTGAAACATCTCCCCCTACCACTCCTTATTTTTGTACTGAATGTTCTCTTTGATGAAGAGTTTTGTGGAACTTGATAACTTGCTAATTCCTTTATGGCATTTTAATTGAGCCTAAGGAAAGGAAAGGCTTTACTGCTGATATTTACAGTTTTAAAAAGGCAATCCATTGCTGAACCTTTCTTTCTGATGCCTTCCTCATTCCTCTTGCCCAGTGCAAGAAACATTATTCCAGTGTAGGCTTGCCACATCTTGCAAAGACACAGGCTGAAGCACCTCTCCATCAGTAACTTGTTTGTAGATGTCCAACCTGCCATTTGACATGGCAGGATAAAATACTTACAAGAAATTTCTCTGGTGCAGCACAGGAGCTTACAAGAACCAGAAGAGGAAAATTGCAAAGAAAAGAAATAAGGAGCTTTCCTGTGGAAGGACAGCTGGGGCTGTGTGTACTGGCAAGTACATTATATTACACTTGCGATGCTATTTATTTGCCATGCTGACCTGCAAATTTAAAAGGAAAGGTTTATGGCATGCAGTACTAGCAACTAGTGGCAGGGCAATAATGTTCTTACTCTGAAAATGACTGACTAGGAGTGTAGCAGGAATGCCACAGGCAATGAAGATCCCGAAGTGTCTGTCCTTTGATTCCCCAGAATTATGAAAATGCAATATTTGCATAGTTGTACAATTTATTACAGACATTTATGTTCTGCTTTTTCAGACAGCCCACGCGATAGTGAATATGTGCAAATAAAACAAAAATGGAAGAAGTGCATAAAGTACACGGTATTTATTCTATAAACAAAATTCAAGAGGTGCCAAAACTCACAAACCACCAAAAACGTGGATGAGTAAAAAGGTCTTTAATAAGCACTGATACATCAGTCATGCAGGTCCCTGAGTGATATTTTTTTTTCTTTTGCAGAACTGGAAATATTGGTTGGAGGAACTGGTTGGGAAAGTATTTGGGAGGGGAAATGGTTACTGCAAGACAACAGGGGACTTGGTTTGGGAGGCACAGATGGTAAGGGATAATACAGCTAAATGAAGAATACTCCTGCAATGATAGTTGTTAAGTCACTTTTAAGCTGGTTAGCACAAGTTTTCAAACTGTGTATCTTCAGGGAATCTTTCTACACCAGCCTATCTGCTGAAGAGCCCCTAACCTGCCATCAAACCTTTGCATGCTGGGGACATATTTTGAGATATTTTTGAGGGCATATGCTACAGCTGGACCACACAGCATGTAAAGTAAGATGGGAGTGAAGTAGTAGAGTCTTGAGATGGTAGAATGGAATGCACTACTTCAGACCGCAGGTAGTGGATTGTATTTTCGAGTGAATTGTATTTTCTGTTGGAAAAAAAAGCACAACAGGGAGTAAGCTGGTTAGAACCTTTTCCCCTGATGTATTAGTTGCAGGGAATAAATTTAGAAAACGGTATTCTCTGCCTGCGGTCTGAATTCCATTTTACCAACTCATTTGGCTTCATGTTGGCTACAATTTGTACAAGCTACCAGCACTCTTGGGTCCCACCATCAGTTTCAGTGCACCCTAAGAAATGCACAACATCCTCCTGAAGCTTTGGGTTGCACAGGATGATGAGTGTGGTGGGCAAGATGGCCTTCAAGGATGTTTGTATGCCACTACTGATATTCTTGTGCACTTATTTAAGATGGCATTTTCTACCTGCCTTTTTCTAACAAGGCAGGTTACAATGTTCTATAAAGATTAAACACTAAAAACAAAGAGAATAAACACAGTGTAACTCATATACTCAGCCTCAAGTTCTTGTAAGCCTTTGGAACTCCTGATTATGTATCTAATCTACCTACCCACATTTTGCTCCCACACTTGAAAAACTCAGGGAGTTGAACATGTTCTGTACACGGTGTTAAACAGTAGTAATAGTCACCAACCACAGAGAGCAGTGTAGACTTTCAAATACTGTAGATAAATGGAAAAATCAGTGCTTTCTAGCGCATAGCAGCATCTAGTGGCTAAAAGATAAAGCTGTAAAACTCTTCCTGTTCAGCTTTTTAAAACATTAACAACCCGTAGAAAAGGAAATACAAAACAACTGTTAGCTAGTGTTCTTTGGAGACAATTAGTATTTAAAGATCAGGGTGAGAATGCTTTTAAATCACACAAGGGGAGAAGTAAAAGATGCTGCAAAAGAAGGAGATGTGGCCAGGCTGGTCTGAAGTTACTTGTAAAACATTTGTATCCTGAGTATTCCCAAGGTTTACAGAAAAAGTTAGAACAGATTTTTTTTTTAAAGTCATTACAATAGCACCATTAGAACTAAAACCATTAATAAATACAGCAAATAATACAATACAAGCCTGCAGTATAAAAGTAATAATGTTAGCAGAGTAACTGCTTAACAGGGTAGAAGAGATAAATGTTTAACAATACAGACAGATCAATGGAGAACACGTCCATTAATGGCTACTAGCTATGATGACTTAAAAGAACCTGCATATTCACAGACAGTGAACCTCAGAATACCAGTGCTAGGAGGCAACATTTGCAGAATCTTTAGCCCCTCTACTGTTTGTTTGTTTGCCTTGTAGTGCAACCAGTTAGCTAAAGTGTGAAACAGGATGCTGGATCAGATGGACCGCTTTGTATGATCTGTTAGTAGTCAGACCTCTCTTGCAGATGGGTATTTGACAGTCAGAGAGAAAAAATAATCCCAAACACCCTTCATATAAAACCATTCCAGATATTATAACACACTGCCTGTTCCAGAAATGACCCCAAAACCATGGCGGACCTACATTTTTGGGACCCTGAAGCTTGAACTGTTATGGGGGCCCCTTCTCAACCAGCAAGAACAGGGCAACGTCCAACAAGGTCCAAAGGGCCTTGCTGCTAGAGTTGCCAGGTTCCTACCTTCTGCTGGTGGGGGGACCAAGCGTCCTCCTGTACGGGATCTTCTGGCGCAAGCGCGTAGTGCATGCGCCGCGATGACATCACCCAGAAGTGACATCATTGCACTAGGCATATTGGCAGGGGATGCTCTATCATTTGGCCAGAAATTCTATGGTACCATAGTTTTCAGGCTGAGTTCTAGAGCATCCCCCCAGCAACGTGCCCGGTGAAATGACGTCACAGCACTTTGGGGTCAGGGTTCCCCCTGCCAGCCGGATCTGGGCAACCCCCGGCCCCCCTGGGGGAATGGTAAGCTTACTTGCTGCCCTTGTAAGGACCTCGAGGCCCAAATGGCAGAGAGTGAGTATTAGAGCATATTCTAAGATCAATAGACCTTCAACCCATGATTCTGTCAGTAAAATAGCCTTGTTTTAATAACAAACACTTTAAAAACCCTCCAACAATTTTGTTGAAAAATCCACTCATTAAAAAAAAAAAAAGTTGCTTCAGAACCCCTCCAGGATTAGGGGCCCTGAAGTTTAAGATTCATTAATTTAATAATAGATCCGCCCCTGCCCCAAAAGGTATACCAGTCAGAATACCAGCCCAGGAAAATATTTGGAAGTGAATCAAGAGGCTGACTTGTAAACAACCCTCTTCCACCCTAAAGTAATGTATAATTAATAATTTACCACTTGGCATTGTGTGTAGAATAGCCAGAAGATCCTAAGATTGTCTGGCAGCTGCAAGGTCTAGCTCTTAGCGTTATGCCAGGGGCGAACTAGGCTTGTTTTTAGGGGGATTTAGGTGGGTAGCCGTGTTGGTCTGAAGCAGCAGAACGAAGTTTGATTCCAGTGGCGCCTTTAAAATCAACAGTTTTATTCAAGGTATAAGCTTTCGTGTGTCTTGTTTTCTTTCATCCCCAGTCCTGTTTCCACATTTGGCACATTCACACCTGGAAGTGTCTCCCATCCTGCACCTCAGGGGTAATCAGAGAATATTAACACCCGACCCGTTTGGTTCAGTTGGGTTTTTCGATTTCCCACTGCGAGAGCCAGCAAAGCTTCGTCCAAGTCTTTTGGAAAACTCCGATAAACTCATTGGGGGGTGGGTGGGTGGGTGCAAACGTGCCATAGTGCCTCAGGAAACATGTGCAGTCCTGGCGCACAGAGCCAGGGTACGGGAGCTCAGCCCCCTGCCAGCAGTCACCTCCCTCGCTGACTGTCGACGAGCTGTTCCGGGGCTTTCTCGCCTTGCAGAGCAATCACTTCCTCCTCCTCCTCCTCCTCCCTGGGTTGGGCGTTTTGTAGCCTGCCGGGGTTTTGGTGCCTTTGCCGCTCTGGCCGTAGTGGCGCCGCTTTCAAATCCGAAGCCCAAATCAGCGGCTGAAGGGGCGCAAAAAGAAACGTCTCAACTACTCCCTTCCTTTCCCTGACACAGAGCAACCAGGAAAGGTGCGTGATGGGACTGGAGGGGTGGTGATGGTGGGGCGGAATGAAGCTCCGACCCGGGGAAACTTCCGGGGCTGCTGCTGCTGCTGAAGAAGAAGGGTGGCTGCGCTCAACCATTCGGTTGAAACTCCCGTCGTTTTCGTAGGATCTTAAAGTAAAAAAGGATACAAGCCTGCGGTTCCACCCACCACGCTGTGTGGGGGTATGATCGGTGCTAGTGCTTGATCTTCAGAGGTTAGGTATGGTTAATTGCGGCATAAGCTTTTCATCAGCCCGCGTTTATTTATTTATTTATTTAAAACATTGTTGCCTCTTCACCTAAGGAGCCTCCTCAAGGCCTTAGACGTTAAGCCAGCATTTAAAATATAAGTAGATAAAATATTTAATTCAATAAAGCATACAATGCAACCAGGGAGAAGGGCCAGTAACAGTTAGTGGGGGGATGCCAAACAAAACAGGTGCCTGTAGTGCTATCCTCAGCTGGCAAACATGTCAGCCTTCCTGAATACAGAGAAAGCAGTATTATTTCTTTTGAATGTAATGGAGCTAGAAGACTGAAATGTGGAGGACAGGATTCTACACATGACAGGTCTATAAATGCATATAAACTAAGGACAGAATTACATATTTATAACAATATTGTAAGAGATATTTCTGAAGAAAATATCTGATTACAAAATATGTGCACTTATTATCCAGCATGAATAGTTATTTTTCAAGGATACACTGCCACGTTACTGTGTGTAATTTTTCACAGGGTTGGATATGGATTTCTCAGTACAAAATACATGTGCTGTTTGCCAAGAATATAGGGCCCACATGAATATATTCACTATGTTCCACTTTACAGTGCATGCTGTTCGTAATGCTTTAAACTTAGGGCCATTTTGTTTGTATTTTAAAGGAGAGCACACCAATTTATATATTTTGCATATCTAATGGCCAGGATGTTTATTCAGCATCATGGTTTACATGTAAACTCTAGGTCTGAATATAGCTTGAGGGTCTTGAATTAACTACTCATCTGTCCACCTCCCAGTATCAGTTACCATCTACTGTGCACATATGTGGAGTTAACTCAGCAATAGTGGTATTAAATGGTGACATAAATGATATTATACTTGGATTTTAACAATTATTAATGTCATGTTTAATTATTGTATTGTACCATGTTGTTATAGCCTGCTCTGAGCCTTGCACTACAGGGGATGGAGGCTAGAAATCAAATAAATAAAAATAAACAATTTGATGGAAAATACTTACTTTGAGTTCTAGAAATGTGCCGCTCTTTATTGCTCCTTTAATTCAGGCTCTCCTGATATGTTTAGCATGTTTATGATATGTTTATATTTCACTGGCTGGTAATTTGGATGTAATGCTGAACTGATTGGAATATATCAAGTTAATTGTAGCAGTATGTAAAATCCCCAGGTAACATGCTATAAGGATGTCGGTTACCTCAGTTCAATCTTAACACAATTTGTTTCCAACTAGGTTGTTTCACTTCTCTGATAGACTGTTTCAAGGGTGTTGTATCTCAATAAAAACTCAGATCAGTATATGGGCTCAGGTGTGGGCTGGTTGCCAGGCTGTACTTTAGCTTGCAGCGTGACCCGGATGGCCCTGGCTAGTCTAATCTCATCAGATCTCAGAAGTTAAGGAGGATGGGCCCTCATTAGTATTTGGATAGGCGACCACCAAGGAATTCCAGGGTCACTGTGCAGAAGAAGGTGGCAGTGGTGTATCTGCACTGGCCTTTACAGGTGAGAAAAATCATGTATTCATCTTTTTTTGTCCCCATTTTCTCAGATGTCTGCTCTGCCTAGGAGAGCTAGAACAGCAGCAAAGCCAGCCACATCCGAAGATGAACTACCTTCCTTCCTTAAATCGTGAGCTGAAATTGATGTTTGTGATCTTTTAATCCAAATTAGAAATATTTATTTATTTATTTATTATTTGCATTTATATCCTGCCCATCCCGCGGGTGGGCTCGGGGCAGGTAACATCATTAAAATAAATACAATTTCAGTTTAAAACATTAAACATTAAAACACAATAAAACATTATAACAATTAAAACAATGGGTCCAGCTTGGAGTAGCATTAGTTGGCTATAAAGTTCTGGCCCGATGGTACAATGAGTTAAAGGCCAGTTGTTGGTGGTCAGGTGACAGATGGGTGACAGCAACCTCAGGGAGGCCATAAATGGGCGCCCGGTGCCTCAACCAAAGGCCTGGCAGAACAGCTCTGTCTTGCAGACCCTGCAGAATTGAAGAAGATCTCGTAGGGCCCTGGTCTCAGTAGGGAGCATGTTCCACCAGGCTGGGGCCAGGACAGAGAAAGCCCTGGCCCTGGTTGAGGCAAGGCGGGTGTCCTTCGGGCCAGGGACCACCAGGAGGTGTTGATCTTTCGAGCGTAACGCTCTTCGAGGAGTATATGGGAAGAGGCGGTCCCTTAGATATGTTGGTACCAGGCTGAATAAGGCTGTGAAGGTCAAAACCAGCACCTTGAAGTGAATCTGGTACTCAGCTGGCAACCAATGTAGTTCACAGAGCATTCGAGTTCCAGAGGCTCATGCATGACCGTATCCTAATTGTACAGCCATGGAAGTTGTTGAATTAAGTCTTGTCCGTGGAATGTGTATCCTAAACTGCCCAGTGGGAAAGCACAGGAGACAGTGTCAGCTGCATTAGCATAACCACTTATATTAGGAGGGGGATCTTGGGGTTGATGAGGGGGGGAGAGGTAGATGAAATAAAGGGAAGTAATATAGTAATGCAACCCATTAAAAAAAAGAAAATTCATAATTAATCTGGTAAGTGCCAAATGGGGGGTACAAGGAGTTATTTCTGAAGGAGTTCAATTTTAACTGGTTTATGTTGTATAGGAGTATTATTGTTGTCTTCCCCACATCATGGAAGGCTCATGTGATTCAGTAATTTCCCCCTTTTTTAAAAACAATGTTTTGAATAAAAACAAGATTTCTGTTTAGGAGAAGAGATAAAGCACTTAAAAATTTGCTTCTGTTTCACAAACCATGGAAGTGTAAACTGTACCCTGCGAACAGTACAGACAGTACAGTACAGACACTAGCCATGTATGTGAGTTACTGTAAACCTGCATGTACTTGTGTACATCTGTTTGCAAGGAGGAGCCAATGCATGTTCACTTTTCAAATAATTGCATTAAAGTGGAGTTTAAAACACATTGTCATCTGTACATGGTGTCAATGTAGCATAAGAATTACTCAGTAAGGACAAAAAAGAGAAAAGGAAAAAAAACTGAACCTAAAACCTAGAATTCAGAACCTAAAAAGGTTAGTCAAGAATAGAAGAGGGCCAACTCTAAAAATCTAATTATGAAACATACAAAAATATACATGTATTTATTCAACACAAATTAAAATAACAAACAAGGGCCCATCATTCATACCTCATATACAAATATAAAAACATACAAGGGCTAATGAAATAGACCTAACGCGTTTCGGCCTTTACAGGCCTTTCTCAGAGGTCTAATATGTAAAAATATATACAATCATACATATACAAAATATGGAATAAAGACCAGAATACAATTGTTCCAAAGTTTAACCACTGGGCAAAGAAAAGAAATACAAAAATACAAATGAAGCCTCCAGTGCAATCACATGTCCAGTAATAATAATAATAATATACACTTTATTGTCATTGTACATAGTACAACGAAATTAAAGGTGCAATCGTTCGGTGATCTACAACCATACTCATACACTCACACAACCATTCACAACCATCCCATAACTCCCTTAAGGTTCACATTGCAACTTAAACCACCAATGTCACCCAAATTCCAATTTCATACAGCATTTAAAGCAATAATAGCTCTCGAATAAAAACTATTTTTTAATCTGTTTGTCCTTGTTTTAATTGTCCTATATCTTCTACCCGAAGGCAGCAGTTCAAACAGGGAGTGTTCAGGGTGTGACAAATCCTGCAAAATGTTCTTTGCTTTTTTCAAGCATCGAGAACTATACATTTCCTCCAGGAACGGGAGAGGGCAGCCAATAATCTTCTCTCTGGTCAACTATATATTCTCCTGAGATTGTACAGCCAAATGTTCCCAATAAAATGTTCCTTAGGTTAAAAGCTATTGGGAATATTTGGCTGTACAATCTCAGGAGAATATATAGTTGACCAGAGAGAAGTACTACTGGACATGTGATTGCACTGGAGGCTTGTTTTCGGGGCTTTATGAATGGGCCCTTGTTTGTTATTTTAATTTGTGTTGAATAAATACATGTATATTTTTGTATGTTTCATAATTAGATTTTTAGAGTTGGCCCTCTTCTATTCTTGACTAACCTTTTTAGGTTCTGAAGCATAAGAATTACTCAACATGCATACAAAGAAATATCAAGTGTTAAATGTACAGAGATTGTGGATAGCCCTGTTCACATGTTACAGTGAATGCATGTATGTTCTTCATGTAAACATGTACATCTGTTTATAAGAAAGAGTCAACACACGTTCACTTTACAAATGAAACTGTGGACCAGTACCCAGATAAATTATTTTTAAATTTTATTTATTTATCTTTAAATTTATACCCCGCCCTCCCCGAAGGCTCAGGGCGGCTCACAAGGGGCACGAATACCCAAGTTAAAACATTAAAACATTACAGAATAATATAAAATACAATAAATACAATTTCACTAAATGAGTTGCAAAGAGTCCATTCGCTATCAGGCAGCGCCAGAGCAAGGGGGAAAGCTGGCATCAGGGACAGTAATAACAATAAATATAGCAGCAACAATATACGTCCATACAGCGTTGACCTCTGCCAGGCACGTCTCGCACCCCCAATAGTTCCCGCTCTGAAGATGGTCAATTTGCGGGACTAATGAGGGGGGCATAGATAGAAAGATGGTGACGATGATGACATAATGATGATGGCATAATGATGGTGGCGGCGGCAGCGGCTCCTACTCGAAAGCCTGGCGGAAGAGCTCCATTTTACAGGCCCTACGGAACTGCACCAAGTCCCGCAGGGCCCGGATCTCTTCTGGGAGCTCATTCCACCAGGTAGGAGCCGCCACCGAGAACGCCCTAGCCCTGGTAACCGCAAATTTGATGTTTCTGGGGCCTGGAACGTCCAGGAGATTTTGATTCCCCGACCGTAGTGCCCTTGGGGGAACATGCAGGGAGAGGCGGTCCCTAAGGTAATTACATTTTCATTTCTACATACATTGACTGTAACATGAGAATGCCTCAAAGCACACATTTAAAAAAATCAAGCATTAAGTGTACATGGTTTCACTGTAGTTTGATCACAGGACTGGTGTGTACTTTAACATGTTCACTTACAGCTTAAGTTCCATGCAGCCACACTCCCTTTGATCTTTTAGCTATAATTATTTTCCTCTGCACGTTGGGAGCACAACAAGGGGGGATTAGTGCTACATAAATGTTTAGTAAGAATTTGGTTTGCAGGTTGAAATTATAATTTATGTCCCATGAAGCAATACCTTTTGGGAGGAAAATGTGTTGGTAGGAATATTAATGTGTAAATACATTCAAAGTTGCTTCATGGAACATAAATGGTATGTTAAGTAAGGATGAAATGTGATGGAGCCATTCTGGTAATACTCCCATGGCATGGAAGATCAGCTGTCAGTGTTTGCTTTCAACATTTTTGCTTTGCAATGATTGCTGTTTTAATATTATGTTGTAGCCCACTTTGAGCCCCCCCCCCTTTGCGGGCCAAATGTACAATGCAAGAGTTTTAAATAAATTACAAATTCATTTTTTAGCATGAGTGAATATGCAAGTTAGCTTTTCTCTTAAAGTGATTTTTTAAAAATTAGAATATTATAATGGTTTGTTTAAAGTCCAAAACAAGTAGTAAAATTTGTTCAGAACACTATCCTGTTCTTTCCCAGCTGGTGTACAGATACACAGAATGCCCAATTATATTGATAAATACTAATAAAATTGGCCCTCATGTCATGCCACCTCAAAACAAAGTTGTGTAGTCCTTCTGGAATGTTCTTTAGGTTTGGACTCTGATGGCTGACTAGGGCAGGCCTGCATAACTTGTGGTCCAATAAGCCTTAAGTAAGATGACCAACCAGATTCCTGGATGTGTGAAAACAGCAGGAAGAAGAAGAAGAAGAGAAGTGGTTGGATTTATACCCCGCCCTTCACTACCCAAAGGTGTCTCAGAGCGGCTTACAAACTCCTTTCCCTTCCCGTCCCCACAAGAGACACCCTGTGAGGTAGGTGGGGCTGAGAGAACTCTTGACAGAAACTGCTCTTTTTCAAGAACAGCTGTGCCAGAGTTATGGCTTGCCCAAGGTAATCCAGCCAGGTGCAAGTGGAGGAGTGGGGAATCAAACCTGGTTCTCCCAGATTAGAGTCCGCGCACTTAACCACTACACCAAACAGGTGAGCACATGATAGGCCACAGCACTTGGCTTGCTGGTTGCTGGTGCTGCAATTTTAAAAACTGTGTTACCTATGGTAATCATTCTGCCATCCGTTCTGAGCAGTGATTGCATTGTTTTCTGCATGGTTTGCACATTTATGGTACATTCTCTGTACTTCAGCTTTTTTTCATTGAAAATTAACACCTGTATCATGTATAACTCCATCTGCTTTAAGGTGTTCTCTCTTCCTTTTTTCAGATCATCGGAAGAAGAGGAGATGGATGAAGAGGAGTGGAAGCCCAAAAAGAAAGCTCCAAGTAGGGCCAGGGTTCCAAAAACGAAAGAGCCCAGAGCAAAAAAAGCAACTGTAACCCAGAAGAAGACTACTGTGCCTCGCAAAAGGACCAAGAAAGTAGCGGTGAAAGAGGAGCCAGTAAGTAGTACAATGAAGAAAGTGATCTGCTTTCTGAAGCCTTGGATACAGTGGTTGGCATTTCTGCTGGATGAAAACTTTTGACCACAATGGCTGTGACGACCTCTTATCTGGGGAGGTCTAGTTTTACTTTAAAAATGTTCTTTCTGGTTTGTTTTACTCTGTAATCCGGCTGCCACCAGGAAAATTTTAAGGCTTTCCAAACCTTTTTCTATAATATTTCTCACTGGGTAGGTATACTGAGGGTCTGGGCTTTCATGAAGGTCTATGTGGTCTGAGGAAGGAATCTTTACTGAGCTGGTATACTTGAAGGAAATAGGATTTATTTAAAGAAAGCATAAATACGAAGGTAAACAATGTAAACAGTACTGGGAATGATTTGAACAAATGCCTGGTGTCTCTCCTTTTCTGACAGGGAGATTTCAAGCAACTTTGTAACACTTTTCACTGTACTTTTTCCTAGACTCTCAGCTTTTAATTGTAACTCCTATAACACAGAACTAAATGTCACTCTTTTCACACACAGAACCAAATCCTTCCCACACAGGGATGTCTCCTTCCACTCAGAGACCACAATGGCTATCTCAGTATTCAAAGGTGCTGACAGGGTGTATAGCCTGTGTAACTCCATCTTCCAAAGTTCCTCATTAAAGGCTCATAAGTAAACTTAGCAGTCATGGAATAAGAGGACAAGTCCTCTTGTGAATTAAAAACTAGTTAATTAATAGGAAACAGAGAGTGAGTATAAATGGGAAGTTTTCATAGGGAAAGGTGTTTTATTTAGATTATTTAACATCTATATGCGCCCCCTTGCCCAGTTGGTCTGGAGTTTCAAGGGTAGAATAGAGAATGTTTTATTGAAAGGAAATTAAGGAATTTAACACACAAGGAACATGGAACTAGGGATGTGCAAAAAATTTTTTGGCTCGATTTAGATTCGGTCGAATCAGGCAGAATTGATTTCGGCCGGCATAAAGACTCCTGCATGTCAATTTTGGCAGTAGGAGCCGATTCAGGAGTCTTTTGGACAGCCGAATGTCAGTTTCAGCCCCATTATATCCTATGGGCCATTGAAGTCAATGGAGGGGAAAGGGGCAACCTGTTTGGGGGCCCGTAGAATTGGCCCCCTGGTCCAATGTTCTTCAAACGTGGTTGGTATCTTGGGGAGAGGCTCCAGCAGCTACCCTGTGAGTTTGGAGCCTCTCCCTCAAACCCCCTCCCCTCCAGCCCCCAGAAGATACCCTATGTTTTCGCCACTGACTTCAGTGGCCCATCGGATATAATGGGGCCGAATTGCAGCCCGAAAGGGGTCCGAATGGGCCATTTTTGGGGGTGCATTCGGTTCGGACGAACCGAATGCACATCCCTACATGGAACATATACACACCCAAGATCTATGGAAAATAAAGAGAGGAGTGGGAGAGCAATGGGCAGTGAGGTGACAGCTACCTTTCCTGAAGATATCCGTGAAGAAGGATGGTGAAACGACCAGCACTTTGCGGAGAGGAAGGACCCAGTATCCTGGGGGGGGGGAGTATTGGTAAGGCGCCGGAGACAACACAAACACAGCAATGGAGCTGCACTGGGCTAGTTATACCCATAAATGCGTCCAGAGGCCTTGCTAATCTGTGAGGTCCCTCAGAACAAAGCATTGATGAGATGAATTGGGGATAAAACAATGTAGTTTGGAAATGCTGTTCACAGTTCCCAGGAGTTGACAAAAGCGACCAGAGGTTCTCTTCTGGATGCAAAGTACAATTTGGGCTGGGTTCCTGATTATTTCTCTGGTGATTGAAGGACTAATGCATTGCTAATTCAACTAATCAAAATTGAAACAATACTGCTTGATGAGCCACCTAGGTTTGGGTGTGGGAAAGGAGTAGAAGTCAGGACTTTTTGTTATGAAGGAAATGTTGGGAAGGAGTCTGAGGCACGACTAATAGGATTAGTGACTGGAACAGAAAAGAAGTCGCTCTGGGGCAAGACAAGTCCATTGTCCATAATATACAGATGTTGGCTGGGTGGAGGGGGAGTCGCAGCTGTTAGAACAAGGGCTCATGTGATTCCCAGGGTCACTGCATAGGCATGATTATAGGGCTTGCCAGTCCTAGCATCCACTTACGTCAAGTTGCCTGGTATATAGACTTCTGGGGTACCCCTATGGGGTTCATTGTCAATGGTTGAAACGACCCCTCCTGAGAGACAGGGTGTTGGCATCCTTACAATTGTCCCACTAATTAAAAACACTTGTTTGGTGTGTACAACCGAGAGAGCCTTTTCTGTGGCAGCCGCACAAATATGGAATAACCTCCATGTGCTCAGCCCCTACATTGTTAATCTTCAGGAGGCAGTTGAAGTCAGTTTTATTTAGGACTGCATTTTGATTGATTCAGCTTTTTGTATTGGCAGTTCTATTTGGCGTTTTTAAACTGATAACTTTTCTGGGTTTTACAATAGTTGTGTTTATTGTGTTTTTAATAACGTTTTATTTATATTGTATGCCGCCTTGAGAAAGAGGGCTAATAAATGTTATACATAAAATAAATTAACTAATTTCAGTACTTAGTTAAGTGTGTATGTAATATACACACACACAATTTATGGAAAAAGAGAGCTTTTGCTGATGCATTATATTGCCACCCAGGTACTTATGCAGTGAGCTCAAGGGAAGCTGATCTTTAATTCTAAAACTCATTTTTTCTAGAGACTACTTCCTGTTACAATCATCTTTAACAGTCACCCAGCTGTCCTACTTAATTGGACTCACAATCTATAACTAATTTTCTTAAATAACTAATTTTGTTCTTACAAAATAAAACCACTTTCAGGATTATTTTTCTCATATATTCTTAGATAATATCTACTCAATTGATACATGTATCATATTCAGGCCTCATTTCCTGCCAGAGCGCACCAGAACAGCGCTCTGGCAGTGAGGAGCCCAGGGGGCGGGCACATGCAGCAAGCCCCGCCCCCTGCTCCCAGCCGGGGAAGGCCTGCCAACTTTCCCAGCTTTATTCTGTATGTTGTTGCTTGCGCTTCCCCTAATAGGGTAGCAGCCCCCGCTGTTGATGCCGCTTCTGGCTCAGTCACTCTGAGCCTGTCTTTCTCCCCGCAGGGAGCGGCAGAGGAAATAGGGTGCTGCCAAGTGCTCCAAACCCATTATGTTGGGGCCAGGCCAGCCACCTTCGTGTCCATGAGCCCGCCGCCACCTCTTTTGCCAGCAGCTGCTGACCTGGGTGCACGCCTCCGCTGCTGCCGGGCCCACTTCCCCCGGCTTTGCCTCCTTCTCTGTATTGGCCGTCGCCACCTGGCCCTGCTCCTCTGGTGCTGGTGGTTGCTGGCGGCATACCTCCTCACTCCTCTGAGCGGCTGCCGGGGAGAGCCTTCTGCATGGTGCCGGCTTCCCTCCCCGCCCCTGAGTTGCTTCTGTCAGCAACTTTGCTGTGCGGAGGAGAGTCCCAGGAGGGACTCATCACCGCGCCTCAGTTGAGCGTCTCAAGGTTGAAGTGGGTGGTGGCTCCTTCCCTAACAGGGACTTGGCATGGTGATTTTTTTCAAGTTTTCAGGCAGGGCTGCCCAGATCAGCAGGGGCTTGATGGGGGGGGGGCACGGGCAGCTGCACCCGACTCCCGGGCAGAGGCAGGGTATGGGTTGGCTCTCTTGCAGAGGGCACTCTCTGCCCCCGGTTCCGACTCGTGCATTGGTTTTGCCAGTGGGGAGGAGAGGAGAGCAAGGGAGGGGGAGGGCTGCCAGAGGGGAAAGAAAAAGAGGGAGGGCACTGCGGTGATGCGCCGCCCCTGCCCTGCTGCACCTTCCCAAGACTCCCTGCCTGGCTTGCCGGCCCCCCGTGCTCCCAGGAGAATTAAGACCTTTTTTGGGGGGTGTCCGTGCTTCCCGCCCAGCCACTGAGCCCCCTGAACAAGCCACCAGCGGGCCCCAGGTATCTACCCTCCAACCATCTTTGCGATTCCCAAGAGGCACAAGGGGGAAGGGTCCGCATGGACAGGGACAATTCTCAGCTGTCCTTGTGATTCAAAAGGCGCATGGGCGTGAGGGGAAAGGGGCCGCACTGATGCTGGCTGCCCCTGTGTGCCTAGGAATGAATCCCTGGAGTGCTCAGTCCCTGGACCCACGTGGTGGCGGGCCTTGCTACAGCTGCCGGTCTCGCGCTGCCTCTGCGGGACTCCCCTCGAGCCTGCAAGGGAGAGAGCTGTGCTGATGCCGGAGGCCCCAGCTGCACAACAAAAGAGGACCTGGGGAGCCCAATTGCAGGCCTATGTTGACGGGCTCCCAGCAGCGCGCTCCGCCAAAGTCGCCAGTTGCACGCGTCTCCTGGGGAGGGGTGAATATTCCCGTCCCTGACCAGCTGCTCAGACGCCACCCCATAGCCTGGGGAGGCGAAGAGAACCAGATGGCTGGTGAGGAGGCCCTATGCTTCCCGATACCCCCCCCAGCTCATCCAGCACCCTCCCAAGCCCGGTACAAACCCAGCCTGCTGGAGCAGGCTCGCCACTGCTGCAGGGAGGGTCCAGATTTTATTTATTTATTTGGATTTATATCCTGCCCTCCCCTTGTACATGTGCAAGATCTTACTTACTGTCTTTTCTCCCTGACCCCTTCTGATCTCTAGTCTATGAATGTACAACATGCATATGTCAGTTCTCTGCAGAAAGCCTGATAAATTTCTGGAGGTCACACAGTAGGTGCAGTCCTGCATCTCACTCCATACATTGATTATTCCCAGTATCTTCTGTTACCTTAGGAAAATAGCAGCTTACAGGCTAGAGAGAGGTTTGAGGGAGCTATCCCAAGAGACAAGCTAACCCTATTTCAATAGGCTGAGATTGCTGGGTTTAAGGAGGCATTCAAAAAAAATTCATAGAATCATAGAATCATAGAGTTAGAAGGGACCTCTAGGGTTTTCTAGTCCAACTCTCTGCACAATGCAGGAAATTCACAAATACCTCCCACACCCCCAGTGACTGCTATTCCGTGCCCAAAGATCTATCTGCACAGATCTGTGGGTCCCCCCCCCATAGCTAGCAATCCAAAACAGTCCAGTGGCACCTTTAAGACCAAGGTTTATTCAGGTACAAGCTCTCCCTCCTCTGTGAGGACAGATCTGCGTGTGTCCCCCCCCCCCAATAGCTAGCAATCCAAAAAAGTCCAGTGGAGCTTGAGCTATGGGTGTCGCCTTCTGACACACTTCCGGTGATGTCAGGGGGCGTGGCATATGCTAATTATGCTGTTTTTCTAGGAAATGACCCCTGAATATTAGCATATTTTATTGCCTTTAATCATGACATCAAGATACTAGCATTAATAAGCACACATTTAATAGGTATATAATCGCTGGCCATTAAATCACATCTTTGAATGATATGTTTCTCTAGCCCTTGGCCGGGTTATCATGTTCATTGTTTTCCTGACACTTCTTCCACATGACTCTAACATCCAATTAAAGTGTTCTTTGTGTCTATTGATACGATGAACTGGGTGGTAGCCTCATGTCTAGTTAACACCACTGTCAGTATAGTGGGTAACGGCATTTAAGCCCAGTGGAGGAAATTTGTACTCTAGAAGGAAAGATGGTTATTTCATATGATCTTTGTAGCCTTCCCTGGTTGTTCATGGGTTGTTCATGTCTGCAGTGCCTTATGTGCTGTCTCAGGTAAGTTCCTGATTCCAGCAATTATGCTATCAAAACAGTTTCTGGTGTGTCTATTCATGACTTTTTGATTAAACCTTAAACTGACTTTATTTGGCCTGTGAGTTACATGTCTGTAATTTAGCATTTAAAATTCTGTACCTGGGAAATCAAAAATCTGTGGATTTGTGCCAAGTAAATCTGAGTTCTGCAAAATGTGCATAATTACTTTTTGCTTTGATATAATTTATTCTGGTTTTCCTAGTAATTCCAACAACTGAAAATCTTACTCAGTGCCTTTCTTGCCTCTGAGATTTGGCAATCACTGCCATTTCAGTGATAATTTTCAAGATTATATTTGTAGCATGATAGGAATTCCCTTTTAATAAATACTGAGATTCTTTGGCAGCTGTATTCAGCATCCGCTCTCACATATAACATTTTTTCTGTGCTTCCACAGAACTGTGACATGACATAGCCCTAGCCACATATTGGGTTAGATCCTGCAGATTTCTGCTAATGAAAGGAGAAATCTTTTCATTTTCATTTCATTTCTGCATGCTTCCTAGCCTTGCAGTGACCAGCCTAACCATTTCATGAAGTCATTATTTATGAAAAAATGTATAGAGGGGAGCTATTTTGTTGATGGTTTTCTCACCCTGCAGATCTTGTGACTCCTCCCTCATATTGTGAGGAAATCTTGCCCTGTTGTTGGAAATCTCCCTTCCTTCAGAGCAGTTTACCATAGGATCAAACCTCATCTTTCTTTTTCTTCCAAACAAACCCAAAAAACTGCATCCAGTATTTCCAGGTTAAAATCTTGTTTCATTTTTTTTTAATTGGCCCTGAGCTGCAAAATAAATATCGTAATTTTCACATATAAGTAATAGTTTCTGTGTATGTAAAGCTGAACTTTGGCTATATAAAGTATATGTAGTTAAAAGCTTTCATAGTTTAACTATGCCACAGTGTTCCAGAATTAATCATCTTTTCTTTTGTCAACGCCTGCTTTGTTGGTGACTTGGTCAGGACACATCTTTACCTGTTCCTGTTCCTGGAGGGGATGAAGGAGGGGCACAATTTAAGGAAGAGACAAATCTGAGAAGTCCAGCTAAAAAGCCTACTGTATTTCCGATGAAGAATCTTGGTTCAGAGCATCCTGTATGTGGCCTGGATAATGATGAAGAACCCTCCACAAGTGCTGTATCTAGCGAGAAAGTGAAGATGGAAGAGTCTGACTTTACATTTGATGAACCTCCTTTAAAAAAGTTAAAATCATCCAAGCATCCTCAGGGAATTCGTGTAAAACATACAACAGGCTCTGCAGTGGATGAAGACCAGAAAATGAATTGGAATATGGTGCAGGTACAAGATCTGTTTCCCTTTCGTAATAGTAGTAGCAGATTCTTTATGCTTAAATTCAGGAAAAAATTGCTGAGTAGAGTATAAATGTGGGTATATAAATATAGCAGAGCTGGACATATTCCACAAAATAAATAATCCTATATTGTTATGAAATCAATTGCGTACGCTTCTGTGTCTATAGCATGGGAGGGATACAGTTAAGTCTTGCGTTTCACAAGAAAATATCAAAAAGTGATCATTGTAACGCTTGTAACGTGAAAGCAGATTCCAGTTCAGTGGTTTAGCTGTTTGGACATATGAACTTCCTGTATCGAGATGATAACATTCTATGTTTAGTAAGATACTGCATAAGAGTGATGTTTCTTGTAGTCTTGGCTTAGGTAGTTTTTAAAACTTTATTCATAAAAGAAATCTAAGTTTTTGTTGTTTGTTTAGCTATTTTATTCTGATTCCTTTGGAATAGTAAATATGCATGTTTGTCACTGGCTTTGATATTTCAGAATTACCGAATTAAAAAAAAGAAGTATAGGCCCTACTTGATTTATCTGAGATATCTCACCCTATGCCTTGTTGTAGCTTCCTTTGTTCATCACATCTCTATTTCCTGCCTACTTCTTCATAAAAGGTTCCTTCGGAGAGAGCATTCACCCTGAGTCTTGTGATTGTTGTTCTGGCTGCTCCCATCTTGAAGGAAAAGTAGAGAGAATTACATGGCTTTTGAATTCCTTTTGTGTTTTATGGGAAGATTATTCCAAATAACAGCTTGTAATCTCTACTGATTCAGCTGAAGGCCTTCTGCCATTTTATAAGCAGCCAGAATCTTGTGGGAGAAACTGTTTCTATATGGATCTGTATTGCTTGAATTTAAGCTGAATTAGAAGTAACCAAAATTGTTAATTGCATGTATATGAAATCATAATTATTCCTGTAGTGCTTCTTGGTTATAACCTGATGGTAGGTTGGTAAGGCAGGGCATTATCACAAGCAGAGACCTGAGGTTAAAGGGACTTGTCCGTGTTACCTAGCTGAGCTGGCTCTTTCATCTTTGTGTCCTGGGTCTCAGTCCACAGCACAGGGTGCGCAGCTATCTGGATGTCAGCATCACGTGATCAGATTGAGCCAGTTTGGTGTGCTGTCATTAGAGAACTGGGGAGGCCTGGGTCTAAATTCCATTCAGCCACAAAGCTCACTAGGTGACTTTGGACCATTTGCACTCTTTAATTAAACTTCAAGTAGGCAGCTCTAGACAATGCATGTATCGTTTTAAACATTCTGTCTTCGACGACATCATTGCTAGTTTGTAAGGACTTTGGTTGTTGTTGCAGGTCTTGTCACAGAGGACTGGTATTGAAGAGTGGGTGTGCGCAAACATAATCCAACTCTTCAAAGATGACAATACTATTCCTTTTATTGCCCGGTACCGAAAAGAGCTTATCAACAATTTGGAAGCCGATGCGTTGCGAGAGGTGCAGCAAACGTTGGAAGAACTACAGTATGTGGTGGGGTGGAGGCAGGAATGGGAGACTTGATGCAAAGTTGACAACTTTATCATCACTATCATATTTCATGTATAGAAAAGCTGTGTCCAAGTGGTGCATGGGCATAAATTGTTGCTCAAGCACTGGGGAAGGATGTGCTTCCATTTAACCTGGGGCAGAGACCTAAACTACACATGCAGCAGCATGTGGTGGTGAAATGTTTGAGTGGGCTGTGCCACTGCAGGTGGGAATGCCATATGTGAATATCTTGCCACAAAATAAATTGAGGTGAGATGAGATGCTCATTTAAAAAAAAAAGAGAACAAAACCCCACGGCATCCTGATAGCGTTCTTTTAAACTGTTGTAATCCACCACACATAAATAATATTATTTACAACTTAACTATAAATAAGCAACAGTAGAGTAAAAGTAACATCTACTCTAGACCAAGCCTTTGTGCCCCATGTCCTTAGCCTTTATCTCGTACAGCTGGTCTTTTAAGTGTCATTAATTGGAACCATCTGAACCTGTAGAGTCTAGCTTTGCAAAAGTCCTGGCTTAGAGGTCATATGGACTAATAGCTGAACAACAGAAAGGTGGCAATGTTGTTCTGCTACAGCCATAACAATACAGCGTTTTATATTGAAAAAAGACTAACAAATGTATTATGGAATACATTTTCAGGAACCCGAGCTAACTTTGCCAGAAGTGGGCAGAAATATGCTCATAAGAACATAAGAGAAGCCAATGTTGGATCAGGCCAATGGCCCAGTCCAACACTGTCACACAGTGGCCAAAAATACCAGGTGCCATCAGCAGGTCCAGCAGTGGGGCCAGGACACTAGAAGCTCTCCCACTGTTGACCCCCCCCCCCAGCACCAAGAATACAGAGCATCACATGCCCTGGAGTCCCTATCTATACCTTGTGGCTAATAGCCACCAAAGGACCTCTGCTTCATATGCTTATCTAATTCCCTCTTGAAGCCGTCCATGCTTGTAGCCGCTGCCAACTCCTGTGGCAGTGAATTCCATGTATTAATCATTCTTTGGGTAAAGAAGTACTTCCTTTTATCTGTTCTAACCTGACCGGTCAGCAATTTCGTAGAGTGCCCACACGTTCTTGAATTGTGAGAAAGGGAGAAAAGTACCTCTTTCTCTACCTGCTCTATCCCATGCATGATCTTATAAACCTCGATCATGTCACCCCTCAGCCGTCGTTATTCCAAGCTAAAGAGCCCCAAGCGCTTTAACCTTTCTTCATAGGGAAAGTGTTCCAACCCTTTTATCATTCTAGTTGCCCTTTTCTGCACTTTTTCCAAAACTATAATATCCTTTTTAAGGTGTGGTGACCAGAACTGTACACAGTATTACAAATGAGGTCGCACCATTGATTTATATAGGGGCATTATGATATTGGCCGATTTGTTCTCAATACCCTTCCTAATAATCCCCAGCATAGCATTGGCCTTTTTTATTGCAGTCACACACTGTCTCGAGATTTTCAGTGAGTTATCTACTACGACTCCAAGATCTCTCTCTTGGTTAGTCTCTGCCAGTTCGGATCCCATCAACATGTATTTATATTTAGGATTTTTGGCTCCAATGTGCATCGCCTTGCACTTGGCCACATTGAACCCCATTTGCCCCATTGACGACCACTCGCCCATCCTCGACAGATCCCTTTGGAGTGCCTCACAATCCTCCCTGGTTTTCACCACCCTGAACAACTTCGTTATCATCTGCAAATGTGGCCACTTCACTGCTTACTACCAACTCCAAATCATTAATGAACAAGTTGAAAAGCATCGGACCGAGTACTGATCCCTGTGGTACCCCACTGCTTACCACCCTCCACTGAGAGAACTGCCCATTTATACTCACTTGTTTTCTATTAATTAGCCAGTTTTTGATCCATAAAAGGACTTTTATCCCATGATTTTTGAGCTTACTTAGGAGCCTTTGATGAGGAACTTTATCAAAAGCTTTCTGGAAGTCAAGGTAAACAATATCTTTCTATTGGATCTCCCTTGTCCACATGTTTGTTCACCCCCTCAAAGAACACTAACAGGTTAGTGAGACAAGATCTTCCATTACAGAAACCGTGCTGAGTCTGCCTCAATAGATTTTGTTCATCTATGTGCCTACTAATTCTTTCCTTAATAATGGTTTCCACCAATTTACCCGGTATCGACGTCAGACTGACTGGCCTGTAATTTCCCGGATCTCCTCTGGAACCCTTTTTAAAGATGGGAGTGA